CTGCCGCTGCACCCCGCAGACTAGACGGACTCGACCGACCGACACACGCCTTCACGTCATTATCATTATGTACATATTTAAAAAAATCACCTCGACTCGAATGCGGCGATCGGTTCCGGCGCCGCGTGGGCTCGTCAGTTTTTATGCTTATAAGTATTATTCAATGAATTTTTAAGTAAAACTTTATTTTTAATCAGTATGAATAAATAATTTCCTGAAGCGTATTTTTGATTTTATTACTAATGTATATGTTTAGGAACTATTAATAAACAGCGTGTTTCTGGACGCCGGCGTTAAAAAATTACTAAATTTTAACTTTTCTCGGCTTACGCTGCCTAAACCGTTAGAGATATATAAAAATGATGTATGAAAAAATTGTAGATCTCATAAAGTTCTACAGAAAAATCCGCAATGGCATTTTCTTACAATAACCACTTTTTTGCTTTCAAAATGAATTTAAAGCCGCACGCTATTTGCGGCGTTCTTTTATTGGTTTCAATATTAATCCTTATCCAAAATAAAAGCGTTTGTTATCAGGAGAATTTAATGTAGAATAAAATTGTCCTTTATAGTATTTAAATTGGACTAATAGTTTATAGGATAACGCAAATACAAACAATAAGGGTAACCGAAAAATCAACTCACAAGCTACGGGGCTTAGAAATGTAGAATCTAGCATCAGTAGATTTCCGTTATTACGTAGATTGCTAAGTTAATTAATACTTAACTAAAAAATACTAAGTTAATGCTATGTAATAGTTAGGAAATAGGTTGAAAAAAAGAGGCGAACGTAAATTTTGAACTTTCAAATTTCACGCAGACGAAGTTGATTACTATATGACAGGTGAGAAGCGCGCGCTCCGCCGGCGCAGGCTTCCTGTCTGCGATGGACATACGAGTATCTAACATAGTAATAAAAAGAATTAAAGGAAACAATGAAATAATTTGTAAAAAGATCCATTGATTTATTTTCTTAATAAAAATACATGAACCCTTGAAAGCGAGCACTACACATGCATACATACAAGTAGCAGGCGAGTTGGCCACATGTTGCTACATGGCCACACAGCTACTTGGCCACGTGGCCACGCTGCTACATGGCCACACAGCTACGTGGCCACGCTGCTACATGACCAAGGCTATGTGGCCACGCTGCTACATGGCCACACGGCTACGTGGCCACGCTGCTGCATGGCCACACTGCTACATGGCCACACGGCTACGTAGCCACGCTGCTACACGTACGCGCACTGATCTGTATAAATGGCAAAGCCCGTAAATTATAATTTTTGCTTCGATCCGACGTACCACTTGGCATGCGGGAATACTTCGCCGCTGAACTATGCTAGCAGCAGACCTTTATTTGGGAATCGCCCAGAAGTATGTTTTTTTTCAAAAAAATTGCAGTAAAACTAAAACTACTATATTAAGAATATAATGTTCGTAAAATACGGGTTTCCTACCACTTGGGTTGTTTTAGCTCCCGATATTTAGGCATTATATTTGTAAAAACCATGACTGTTGTTATATAATTTAATATATTACTATATTACGCACCACAAATCCATTGAATATTTTTATGAGACACACGCTGCAGTGAGACTGCAAATAACTTAAATATATGTTGCCCGGATACCAAGTGTTAAAAAGCGCCTGTTTTTGACAGTTAATGTAGTATAAAACAGGAATTATCCATTTATAGAGGTCAGTGGTTACAAATGTCTCAAATCACTCACAAAAGATATTTTACTTTCCATCAAAAATACAAACAACATCAAAAATTAAAGTTGGACATTCACAATGACACATACGCTTTAGGCTACACAAGGACATATCCGGAAGTTGGAGCTCGAGACGGCCGGAGGTGGAGCTGCGCCGCCGCAGCGACGAGCGCAGCGACGACCGGCGACGAGATGCTGTCTTCTTACACAAATATAACTATAAAAATATCAAAGTGTCATATAAAAGTCGGCATCGCATCGCAGAGCGACCTTACAAAAATATACAATAATTATCTAAACTCTTGGAAGAGATATGTACAAGGGGCGATGTGACTGGGACTGCACTCACTGGACACGGAATAACTTATTACCATATAAACGTGACTCGAAGCGGTTTGACTTATAAATACTAAGGTCCGTGCGTTCTGCTGCGCGTCATTTGTGCTTAGAAGGAGGTGTGTGCGGGCGCGGCCTACGCGTCCTTGTCGCGCTCGG